TAGTTTTGAATAAATAAATTAGAATGAGACTTGTCAAATATATAGAAAGGACAGTTATTCAACGTGATATAATGGTCGTAATAAAATGGTTCTATATCTAAGGTACAACAGACCAGCCTACTGTCAGTGTTATTATGATAAAATTCTGACCTAGACCTATAGACGAGGACGGCATGCTTGATCATTCGTGCTACCAGTTATTTATTTATTTTTTTGTACATTTTTTTATATTGTTTCATGTTTCTTTTGATTTAATAACATCATATGTTTTTTGTTACTTTTTATAAGATTTTTTTGTTAATTTTTGTCCTTTTGTGTCCTTTTTCTCGTTTCTCGCACTAAACCGTACCAACTGAAAAGTAAGCACATGCCTGACACACGCACATGTATGGATTGGTGGATACATTTCCGATCCTAATTGACTTTCCCATTTTTGTTGTTTTTTGAGTTTCTATTTTATTATAATTTTAGTTTTTTACTTTTTTTTGATAAATGTATTGATATTTCTTTTTTTTGGACTCGGGACTGTATTCCCCAATTTTTTGGTCATTACTGAAAATCGGCGTTGCAGTTTCACTGTCTAATAAATCTCTTTCTTTCTCTTTCTCCTATTTAAGTCAGAATCTGTTTAGCACTTTAGTAGGCTTACCATTTAATGAGCTGAGATAGTTCAGAAGATTGTTTAAATTTACTTCATGGCCTGGTAGCTTTCTTTACTTGTCCTTCCCAACTAGGGCTGTCATAACTTTTCGAAATTGGTATTTTTTTAAATACTTAAAACGTGTTATTCTCTCGTCTTTTGTTATATACAAAAGATGTTACATCCAAAAGACGTTTCGAAGTATAATTATTCACAAACTTAGTAATCAAGACCATTCTTTGTCCTTCCAAGTCATAGACTTGTTGACAATTAGTTTTTAGGCTCATCTACTTTATTCCATCTTCCAGTTTTTAAAAAGTTGTTTTATTGCCAAGTGCCAGTTTAATCAATATTCTTTTAGTAAAAGAAAAATTTGTCTATTAAAAGATTAACACAGTTGATGCTTATTATTTATTTCCGTTAAAAAACGATCTTTTCTTCTGTTTATAAATATTTAAAAGATATCTTATCGAAAATTTCAATAAATACCTGTTTTATTAATTTAATAACCTCTTTTATGGTCAAGTATATTAGAATATATCAATTCCGCACAAAAAGGACCGTTACGGTGATCTTTCTTGATTCAGGTAGGATCGTTACAATGACTATGAATAAAAATTAAGTGGTTGCAAATGCATTTAAGTTATTTGTATATGTTACTTACTATTTAAAACAAATTTAACAGCCCTATTTGTTGCACTAGCTGTACTCTTATGAGCTTGTTTTTGCTTTTATCATCTATGGGAGTTTTGTGTTTTTGCCCTCACTGCTTGATTATAACGTTCCTATACCGTACCAACCTATTCGTACATAAATATTTTGTACGCGTACACATACAACATCATAATGTGCTGACTTATAATTCATCTTGAATTACATATTAGAATTTTGCAACAATATTTTTAATACAGTAATTGTAATTGTTTATTAATATAAATTATTAATGTTGTTTATTCAGTTTTGGTATGGTGTAACATTTTGTAAAGTTAAGTCCATTACTTTATTTTACTGCTAACTTTTATCGCCACCTAGTGCCAATGAGTTGCACATGCTTTCAATCATATTTTTTAATGAATTATTGCGAGTTCATAGCACCTACAAATATAGGATGTATCGTACATATTTATCTTCACGAAAAAATGCTATAATGATCTGCATCTTTTTTGCTGTTTTATTTAAAAGACAAATAATACTATTCTATGATCAGTAGCTTTATAATTGTCGTTAGATGGCGCTATATCAAACGCAACCAAAAGTATTTAATGAACCAATAATTATTTTACGTTATATGACGAAATGATAATTATCAAGAATTGTTTAGTGTTTAATGGTCGTATGACATAACTATAGGTAAGTAGTCTTGCGGATGAACTCGGCTAGAAGTGACAACAGTGGCTTTCTCTGTGGCTGAATATTTACACGCGAGTATCACGTCGTAAGTTTTACAGAAACAATATATCAATGTGTTTATCTAAATGAAATAATTTACTGAAATTCTATGATTTATATCATTCAAAATAAAAAAATATAATATAAAAAAACTAATTTCATCGGCATCCACTTTAATTTATACTCACTTATTGTCAATAATTACATTATAACCTATAACTTTATAATCGTATACGAATTATTTAGGATCAAAGAGAATACAACCACTACGTTCATATACGATTATACATTTATAGGTTATAGTAAAATTAATTTGTAATGAATAAAATTACAAAATGCGTAAAGTAAAATAATAAAACTTATTCCTGGGACATTTCAATACTCGTAATTATTGTGCATGTTAATATAAAATACAATCAATTTCTTATACACATAATTTATAAGTAGTTACAGGATTTTCATACAGTTATACCTATATAATATTATAAAAGTAAATAAATATGAGCACTATTTAGATAGGACACGTTGTCTATATTTTATAGGTACTGTAAGTAATATAAGCATTATTTAATTAATATTGTATATATATTTTTTTAATATTTCAACTTTCTGCGAGTCACCAACACCCCACCACTCAATCGTAATCCCATCGCGCCACAGTTTAGGGGTAAATGGGAAAGGATAATAAGATGTAGGATGCAAAGGTGGCTTTATGGGGTACGATGGTATAAGTATGGTATTAAATTGGATAACGAGTGCTATGCATGTTTAGGATGCCGTCGATAATGGGCAAACAGCAGTCCTTCGCATTACAATAGTCTCTTCCAGACGTAAAAAATTAAAGTAAACAAGAAAGTAAAGACATCGAAAATAGGTACTTCTTCAATAAAAACGTTGCCAAGTTAGCATACTGTTCACCTGATTTTAAGAGCCCCTGAGCATTTACGGCGCCTGACATATTTCAGAAGAGTTCCCGGGCATTACAAATTGAGCGCCGATTACTTCACTCACCAGACGAAAACCAAAAGTGTAATACTTACATTTCACGCCGGTCTTCTGTAAGGTCGTGGTTCTTCTCCAGACAAGCATGCCCTCAATTTACACATGGTCTCTCGACAACAGGTGCATTTACAAGCCTTTAGTACCCACTACTGATTTGTGTCTTAGATCCTTAATGGTGAAAGTACCGTTCAAGTCTATTTAATTTACCCAAAGCAAAACAATCACAACAATAATTGAACATCAACTAATGCTGGCTCGACATTTAGTCATAGTAGTATTCGACTTTCAATATTCGAAGACATAGATGCCGAAAAAATTAAACCGATCGCAAATTAAATGAAACTACATTTACGGATTTATCGCGTTTATACCCCGACATTTCCGATTCTTTACAGCGTTCATGGTCACAGAACAGATCGCAATATACAAAAACTAAGCAATTAAAGTTAAAAAAAAATGTCTGATGAAAGGTTTCATGAGAACGCAATTCATTGCATATCCATTGAGAATGTGCTTGTTTTATTATGCACATGGAATTGGCATCACTTGTTCAAATGTTTCGATAAATATCATTAAAGCACCGACATGTATACCCATTATCTCAAGTTGCGTAATAAAGAAACCGTTTTACATTCATATCGAGTCTTATCTCAGGTTTGTGTTAAAATATACGTCCAAAAATATATTCACATTTACTCACTCTTCATCATATCATTATAACATTACTGGGAGTACATAAATATTTAATAAGTTTATACAATTAAAAAAAAATAGCAGAAGACAAAAAATCTTATTATTCGTTTGAAATTAATTTTGCGCTCGCCTTTAATTCAATATCGAGCAACTGAACTCGAGCAACCTGAGTTCGATCCCCGGTGCCAGCACCAATGAAATTGTTAATTTTAAGTGCCGAATTATCACATGCTCAGCAGTGAAGGAATACATCGTGAGGAAACCTGAATATTTTCGGAGTAATAACAAAAAAAAATATTTCGAAGATATGTGAACTCCGCCAGTCCGCAGTGGGGCCGCGTGGTGGACTATGCCCTGATACCCTCTGTACAGAGGAGGCCTTTGCCCAGCAGTGGGCATGTATAGCAGTATAGGCTGATACTAAAATATCATATATCAGGGCATCACATAATATATCAGAGCGCCTGACAAAATTATTAAAATTCGAAGGAAAGTACAAGTACAATGATGTACTGATAGGTACTATTATGCTAAGTAGAATTAACTACAGCTCTCCAGCAAGACCCGTACCAAATGTTCGATTAATATACACTTAATTGCCTGCAAACGCGCTGCGCTCCGTAAATCTCACTTTTTTACACACATTGCCTAAACTCCGCCAATTGGTCGTTCGTTGTAAATGACACACGTGACTTCTCCTCATGGAAAGTTGACTAAAATCCGCTCATTGATCGTTCGGTGTAAATAGCACTAGTGACTTCTACTCAAGGGATGTTGACTAAACTGCCAATTGACCGTTCCGTGTAAACACCACACATAACTTCCACTCATGGGAAGTTGACTAAACCCCACCAGTTAATCGTTCGATGTAAACAGCACGCGTGACTTCCACTCATGGGAAGTTGACTCCGCTCATTGATCGTTCGGTGTAAATAGCACGCCTGCCACCATGGGAAGTGGTACTAAGCTAAACTCCGAGTTTCAATTGTAAATGACACAGACGCTCATTGACTCGGTGTAAATAGCACTAGGACTTCTACTCAAGGGATGTTGACTAAACTGCCAATTGACCGTTCCGTGTAAACACCACACATAACTTCCACTCATGGGAAGTTGACTAAACCCCACCAGTTAATCGTTCGATGTAAACAGCACGCGTGACTTCCACTCATGGGAAGTTGACTCCGCTCATTGATCGTTCGGTGTAAATAGCAGCGGTGACTGCCACTCATGGGAAGTGGACTAAGCTCCGCTAAATTATTGTTCCAGACAGCTCATGGACGTGATAGTGATAGGATGTGGGGCTTCGGGCGTAGCGGCGCTGCGCAAGCTTCACGACGCAGGCCTCAAGGTGCTGGGCCTCGAAGCTGAAGATCGCATCGGTGGCAGAATACGCACGGTCCAGTTCGGCGAGAGCTGCCTGGACATAGGTGCCGCTTGGTGCGTAATGCTGTCAATTTGGAACCGTTCTCTAGTAGCTCGAACTAGAAGGCTCAATGGGCAGCGGTGTATTAGTTTCTGTTAGTAAACGAACAATGTAAAGTAGGAGAAGCAAGTTCTCTATTTACAGTGTAGCCCTATCGAATAGTTTAGTTAGTACACTGAAGTAGTATATTTTCGAATTTTCTGGTACCCTGGATAGCAAAACAAAGATAGTATATTACTTTGTTGTGAGTGAGGTAGCTGAAGCCCAATTTTCAAAAGGTTGTCAACGCATCTGCAACCCTCGGGTGTAGCAAAAGTCCATGGGCGGCGGTATTCACTTAACATCAGGTGAATCGCTGGCAACTTGTCACATTAATATATACATATATATATATATATATATATATATATATATATATATATATATATATATATATATATATATATAAACGTTTTTTTACGTTTTCCAGGTGTCACGGAGAAAAGGACAACGTCGTGTTCGAACTGGCAAACCCATTGGGTCTGCTCGGAAGACCCGATAACCCGGACAACAAATGGTTCGTTCTTTCAAACGGAGACCTAGTTGAGGAGGGAAGAGCGGAAACGCTAATCGACGCTCTCAACCAAGAGGTCGGGAAAGCGGAAAAGAAGAACAAGAAATCGATCAGCGAATGCGTTCGAGCCGCGTAAGTGTTTGTGACCGAATAAAAGAGGCATTTATGTAAATATTCTTCTTGCCTCTATACGTATCCCTGAGTGCTGTCGGTATAATACTGAATTGTTTATCATCATCATCATTTGAGCCTGTTTGAGTCTCAGCTGAACATAAACCTCCCTCGCCTCGGAACACAGTCCTGATACACCTGCATCCATCGACTTCCAGCAACATTACATAGGTCATCGACCTAGTCACTCCATCTGATACGGGTTGCTCTACACTACAATGGCCAATACAAGGCTGCCAATCGAGAACCTTCCTGCCAGATCGTGTATCGGTCTTCGAGCTATATGACTAGCCAGCCCATTGCTACTTACTAAGCGTCTGAGCTATGTCGGTTATCTTTGTCGTACTGTTGATGTCCTCATTGCGAACTCTACCACGCAGAGAAATGGTTATATTAAACGGTTATTAACCGACTTCCTCTTTGATAATGCAGGGTTTGATTCCCAGACGGGACAAGTATATACGTCAGGCATGTGGTTGGTCGTATAACTGGGCCAACATCATTAACAACATGATTCACTAATATTCTGATAGAAACTGATCTCGATTATTAGGAACTTATTATTTAGTGGTACTTATAACTGTGGTAGGGCCACGCAGCAACCTACCATGTATAACGATCTCACAGAAGACCGGCGTAAAGTGGAAGTATAATACTTTTGCGTTTCGTCTGGTGAGTAAGGTAGCCGGATCCCAATTTTCAAAAGGTTGTTAACGCATCTGCAATCCTCGGGTGTAGCAGATGGCCATGGGCGGCGGTATTCACTCAACATCAGGTGAACTGCCTGCTCGCTTGACAACTTTTCACATAAAAAAAAATTATCTTTATGCAACGTCGAAGGACCTTTGTAATAGTATAAAAAGACCTAGAATTTGTTTCCAAGATTAACAAATAATTGCAATATCTTAACGACATATGCAATGTCTAGTTTATGTCTACAAAAGGCATATTTCTGTGAGTTTCTGAGGTTCACATAAGTAATTAACTAATATTGCTTTGTGTGCGTCCTGAAAAAAATCTAAATTAAATGACTAACTCTGAGCCATCACAAGGTTTAATCACAGTTCTGAAATGTGAATAGTATATATTTTATGTTTCAGCGCTGACACCAACGCTACCTTGAAAAAAGAGCCACAGCTCTCGAAATACTTCGTCGAGTGGTTCGAGAAGAACAGCCACGTGGGAGGTCAGACTGACCCGCGCGAGGGCAAATCGTTGCGGGGTCTGGAGGAGTGCTGGGGCTGCGAGGGAGAGTTTATGCTCAACTGGAAGGGGAGAGGCTACAAGACAATACTGGACGTCTTACTCGTAAGTATTGAAACTCCTGATATTTGAGCCCAGTTCAAAGCACTTACTTCAACCATATACGTTCACTGCCAAATACGTTCGGTCAAAACATTTAAAAGTTCATTTGTTTGTTTTTATAATGTGATAGACGCTGCAGCTTTGTAGTTTGTCAGTAGAGAAAACGGATATTCACAGATATGTTACTACACTTCTCAGTCACTTAACGACTTATCCATCTTGGTCAATATTCGGAAATATAGAAAAAGACAAGAGAAGAAACATCAGAAAATGGTTCAATGATGTGTTACGTATAGAATTTAAGAACTTTGATCAATAGATGAAGTTATGAAGAATTGAGTGTTAAATTGAAACAGGAAGGAATTGGGGATCTCTGTTATTATAATTAAATATTCAATTGCATTAGTTACAAACAATCAATCAAAAAAAAATCATCAAATAGTAAAATTTTTATATAAAATGCAATATATGTGTTTTGCTGTGACGTGTTGGAAATCTAAAAAGCAACATCGCCTTTGGTTTTGATATATGGACCTGCAGCAATTCAAAAGGCTTACGTAAACTTTTTATAACATTTCTTTACTTTCCACCGTCTTCAGATGATCTAATTCTCCTGTACTTTGACATTATATACAAATATGAAAGAATATTTGAGTTATTCATTTTTAATAATAATTTTATAATGATGATGTCTAAAAACTAATTCATATTGAAACTTGGAATTTCCTGTTCTATTAACTACATAATGTTTACTGCATAATGTTTAACGTAGGTATATTATATGGGATGTGATGCAGCAACTAATGACTTAGCGGGATTTTTAACCATTAGTTATGAACACCGTTAAGTATGCACTTCATTCACCTGATACAGCTATTTCTTAGTGATTTCGTTTTCTAAGAAATTTCTACACGATATTAATAAACGGTTTTTTTTTTCACAAGTATTCAATCTGTATATTAAACAAAACAGATTAATAGATACAGTTGCATAGAAATAATCCTTATCAGACAGCTATCGATATTCACATCGAGATCTTAGATATGCACAATAGGAAAAATCGATATAATTCTCTCCAAATACTTATACAAATAAAGATTTTAGTTGGAAATATAAACAAATTTCTTTCATCATCAGAGAGACATATGTTTTAATGGATTCCAAGTAATGCTTTTTTAAGAGCCTATCTCGAATAAATACTCTTACCTATCCTCATTTTAGCGTTATAGAATATTTACGTGGGTCAACATATGAGTTATTCAGAGCGTTCAAAACGAAGAAATAATGTATAATCAATTAACCACGTGTTTATTTCACAATTCCATACTAGATTTTTCTGCTTACGACGGTAACACGATGGACATACTGGAAAAAATCAATCCAAACGCGGAATGAATGGCGAATCATTCTCAACACACCCTTGTCCTCAATATATCGTTCCACGGAATAGGCTTAAAATTTCGTTGTTGGTTGCCAAGCTTAATCTTACGCTCGGTTTCTGAAACACTGAGCATCGGAGAAGTCAACTATAATCAGCCGTCAAATGGATTTTCATTTCCATTTTTCGTCCCTCCAGAACAAATACCCTGATCCCGCCAAGGAAATACCGGTGAAGATTCTGCTGAAGAAGGAGGTGGACAGCATAAAATGGCGGACAAGCCAGCCCGGTCACGAATCGGGAAACCCGCTGGTGCACGTGAAATGCAAGGACGGTAGCCTGTACGCAGCCAAAAGCGTTATCGTCACCGTTTCAGTGGGAGTGTTGAAGGAAAGGTAAAGAATACATTTTTAAAGACCTTAAAACCTCCTGACGAGAGACCTGCTCTTTTATTTTAAAAGTTGGCAAGCGACCGGGCGACCTTTTTTATCTGATAAGGTGGCGAACAAGCTGCCGGTTCACCTGATAAGTGATAACCCATTGAAGTTTTTAACACCCATAGGGTTGCAAATGATTTGCCATATTTGAATAAAGTGGGTCCCGATCTCACTAACCATGCTGAATACAGAAGTATAACATCTCCTCTTCACGCTGTTCTTTTATAGTATATTTGTATATTTATATATATTTATAGAATATTTCTTCTGTGAGGTCGTTGTACATACTCGGACGGACCTGCCCATTCGTGCAACATAGAAGACCGTTACGTTGCCCTACCACAGTCATCTGATGTTAAATGACTACCGCCGCCCAGGGAAATCTACAACACATGAGGGGGGAAGATGTGTTGCCAACAAAATAAAATAGTTGGCCCCGGCCACCTCACTAAATAAACGAACTACGAAAGCATATTGTCACTCCAAGCTGGTCATATTCAAGGCCGTGCTACTTCCCCAGGGAGTCCTGGACATTCCGGCAACAGCAGTAGTTGCTACATTACAATTCATGTGACTATTGGTTACCCTTAACTGTTCTTTTTGTTTCTATCTAGGAGTTGCTAATATCTAGAAATACAGAAACGGTTTAGAAATATTGACATATTATAAATTGCAAAAGCTAGCGGGAAACCGATTCTTTACTCCATTTCCTGGCGGCCACCGAAATTGTAAGGCGTCTTTTTTATGTGAAAAGTTTCGAAGCGAGCAGACGGTTCACCTGATGTTAAGTGAATACCGCCGCTCATAGACATCTGCTACACCCGAGGGTTGCAGATGCATTGCAACCTTTTGAAAATTGGGCTCCGGCTACCGTACTCAAACGCGAAAGTATTATACTTCCACTTTACGCCGGTCTTCTGTGAGGTCGTGGTACTTACCTGGACGAGCCTGCCTATTCGTGCAACAGCCGAGGCTGCTGCCTGACCCTACCACCGTAAAGTCTACTTTCTTACTTCTCTTCTACTTAACCCAAACAGGCACAACCAACTCTTCGATCCGCCGTTGCCACCAGAAAAGACCGTAGCAATTAACAGCCTCCAGCTGTGCGTCCTGGACAAAATCTACATCGAGTTCACCAAGCCCTGGTGGCCCAAATCGCCTGCAAACTTCACGCTTCTCTGGCGGGACGAGGACAAAGCAGGATTCTCCGCCGACGAGAGATGGGTCACCGAGATCCCTAGCCTGATCACTGTGGAGCACCAGCCGAATCTACTCCTCGCCTGGATATACGGGACCGGGGCCCAGGAAATGGAGAGACGCAGCTCGGAGCAGGTGAAAGCCGGCATTGAGAAGCTGATGGCGATTTTGAAGAGGCGCTTCGAAGTTACTCCAGTTAAGGATGTCATTAGGTGAGTTTGTTACTTCGCACCTTCGAATACTAGGCATTCGTTGCGAAGGGACTAAGTTAAATAGGTGTCGGTTGTTGGATCGGGATATAAGACGGTATTAAATAAGTAATGAAACGGTATAAAACTGTTAAAGTCCGGTTCGAAGGACCAAATTTCTTGCTAACAATTATTACGTATTCAATATCGTATTCTCAAAGTGCACGTATAAGTTTGTATAATTCAATATAAAATTTATAATTATTTAAATATTATTGCGTTGACCAAAAATTTAAACATAGTTAACGATTTAATATGAATACTTAAAAAGCTTACGTTGTAGCTAATTGCGTTTTAAAATTACCTCACAATAACGAACAGAGGAGAACAGAATGTCCTGGTGATTTTAGGTACGATTTAAACCTAAAGCAGTTTCAGTCTAATAGGAAATTCAGACAGATTTTTTCAGCCGACTCCAAAAACGGAGGTGGTTGTCAATTCGCCTGTATTTTTTTTTATGTTTGTTACCTCAGAACTTCCAAATGAGTGCGCCGATTTAAATGATTCTTTTTTCATTTGAAAGCTGATGCTTCCCATGGGGTCCCATATTAATTTCATTGGTATTAAATCTTGGGCTCCGGAGATACATAGGGAACTCCTGAAAATCAATAATAAAATGAAAACACCGCGAGATATTTGAAGGCGGTTTTGTTTTTCGTTAGTAAATAAATTTACTTGTTCATCCGTCGTGTCGATTTCAGGTCGCAATGGGCCGCGAACCCGTTCGCCAGGGGCGCCTACTCGTACCGTAGCGTTATGACCGAAGAAGAGGCAGGGGACGCGGTGGCGCTCAGCGAGCCGCTTTACCGCCGCGACGGGTTCCCGGTGGTCTGCTTCGGCGGCGAGGCGACCTCCCACCGCCGCCACTCGGCGGTGCACGGCGCCGTGGAGGCCGGCTTCAGGGAGGCCGACCGGCTGATCGCCATCTTGAAAAAGTGACGCGCCATCTTGAGAAAGTGACGCGCCATCTTGAAAACGTACCGCGCCGGTTTCCGACGCGTTCGCAAATAGGGAATTGGGAATGACGGGTGCGTTCGTGAAAAGTGCTTTTTTTTTGAGATTGCATACGCATATTTTATGTATATGTTTTAACGTAATAAAATATAATTATAATGTAATGGAAATAAATAATGAATTTTACATGAATAATTTTAATCTTAAACGGTGATAAGGTGCATATCAATAAATGTTTGCGAATGTAAACAGTGTATTTTTACTCGTGTTATAGACACCAGCAGTATACACGAAAATGGAAGGGAGTTTATATTTTATAGGAAAGCTTGTGTTTGTTTCAATTCATCCCACACGCCACACGGTGGTATACGAATTAAATATGAAAATTTCTGTATACCGTCCAGTTTATATGTCTTATCTATGGTACCATCATCGAAATCATTTTTTTGCATTGTTTTCGAAAATATCCAGATTTTCTCAATATGTTTTCCTTCATCGCTATACACACGTTAAATGGAAAATATGACACATGAAAATTAAAACTTTAATTAATAATTTTATTTAACACTAAATTAAAAATGATTCCTTTATATAAGGAACAGAAACTACAAATATCTGTTGTCTTTTAATCCTGATAACATTTCACTGATACAACAGAAAATTGCGAAAAGAGCACACAGTGAAGGACCAACCATCAACGTGGTGATGGTAATTGGCGGTTTGACGAGTTGCACGATGGTGAAATTTAGATGAATGATGTGAAATTTAGCGGCAGGTTAATCCGAACAATTATCTAATCCGAACAATCTATCGCATATATCACATGGGATCCTTTACCCAGAGGATGTGGATGAGGATGAAATGCAAAAGGATGCTCCCTTCGCAAGGTCAAAGAGTTGAGGCGATCTGGCAGGATTCGAGCGGCTCTTCGTTTGATGCGGTCAAATAAAAGGAGCTGGTATTTCAGTGTCCCCAACCTGACCTCTGGTCAAAACAGTATTCGATGTGCGGCCGAATCTGTTCTTTATAGAGTCAAAAGTCAAAGTCAACATTTCTTTATTCGGTATAGGTATATTTTAAGCCCTTATTGAACGTAAACCCTTATTAAACTACCACCGGTTCAATAAACCAGACCTGCCAGAGAAGAACCGGAAAGAAACTCTGCAGTCTTATAATTTTTTTCTTTGAATTATTTAAGTATATACACAAAAGTATATATTTACGTATAAAATAAGCAGGAGCCAGGGGACTAGCAAGTACAGAGCAAGAGTCATTTCCACACATCCTTGTCCTCAATGTATAGAGCAGTAAAGGGGCCGGCAGTAATACTATCTTGAAGACACCGAGCTTTTTAGGAGCCAGCTTGGCTTTTCCTACCAAATGACCGCGAAATTGAACGCTGCTCGATATGTCAACGCTAGGAATTCCGATCGAATATGTGGGTGTCAAGGAAAGTGCCTTCACAAGAAGGAGATCCGACAAGGGTTACCTCCTCGCGGTCAACGCGCACACCTGTGTCTTCGTGGGGTTAAATTGGATTAACTTATAAAACTGAACAAGATAATGCGTAACAAAACCTAGACTCCAGACAAAAAATTATTCCGACACTCGTCAAAGTATTCTTGAGAAATATTTGCTAGGCCGGTATGTATTATTTATATTCATAGTTTGTATAAATGTTAACTGTAAATAAAACGATTACATATAATTATATATCGTTAAGGTTTTAATACCGATATTGTAATTCATTTAATATAATTCCCCTGTTTCTTTTTATTTTTTTTACCGCCAGCCTAGTGTCCCTTACGCTTCGTGGGATTATGAAGATCCTTTACAATCAGTTTCCATGCTCCTCTCCCCATGTAACTGATTGATCTCGACTACATAGGTGAGCAATATATAGTGTTAATTTTTCCTCTATGAAGCTAGAACGACTTGTAAAGCGCGTGTTATAAATTGACCTTAAAATGCAGAGAAGAATAAAAATGACTAAAGGTGCCGTTTCACTACCTTTATCACAAATTTTAAAAGTTTACACAATAATTCTATCTTTTTTTTTGTTTGTGTTTGTTTTTCATTGCAAAAGACATTTTATATTATGTATAGTTGCTGATGCCGTAAAATTAAATTGTACTACGATTAAGTAATGACTTTAAATTTCGAAGTGTCTACTCTGCCACTAGTGGCCATTTAATAAAAATGAATACTGCGGCTAGTGGTAAGTTAAGATATTTTTATTCTGCCGCAATAGATAGAGCAAGAAATAATGGTATTCTTTGCATACTTTTAGTGGATTTAGTTAGGTTCAAAGATCTGACACAGAGGAGACACAGAACACCTCACAGTCTTGTGGTGCCCTACCTGGTATTACGAGAATTCTGGCGAGAGCGTATGAAAGAGTAAAATTTAACATTTGCGGCCGGCTAGAGACAAAGTACCGCATTTTTCCCATCTAAAACACGTATTTAAATATTTAAGTCCTACATATTACTGTTTTCTCCCCTTTGGATCGACCCAACGTTTTCGAAAAACTGCAATTAGCAGTCTGTCTTATTGTCGATTAAATAACTGGGGGCAGAATATTTTATGTTAGACTGGAACTGTTAGAACTATTTCACGACTTACATATATTTAAAATTAAACTTTATTGGATTGCGTTTGAATACATAATACTTGCGGTAAAATTATTTTTTTCTTGTACTACCTCTAGCGCCTAAGTAATTCTATTTACTAAATGGCCACTGGTGGCAGACTAGACACTTCCATTAAATTATATCAAGGGTTAGGATAAGATTGAACTAAAATTAACTTTTTTGTCGTTGGAATTAAATTCAGATTAATACACATGATACACAAGGATGATACGCTATCACATGATTCATAATACACAATGATGAATAGTTGTGTAGATAAAACAGTCCCCTTTTAAAGACATTCCAACTGATTTATTTTATAAATCAAGTTTAAGTTAGTCAAAGCGGGCTACTAATTCGGTGAACTTACTAATGTCTCGAGATCGACTCTAATCTTCCGTTCTGAGTAAGTTACGCACTAATGTGTTAACGCCTTGTAACTGGTTTGAGAACCAGCGAAATGCCAACTAACATCATTACTCGCCTTGAAGCCGGATAAGGATATTGTACTCCGCGTTGCGAAACAATTTTTACGAAGCCTTTATTGTAGCTTTTTTGAAGATGGGGTAAAGAAAAAGCAGTAATATATCAAGAGTGTCGTTTTAATAAATTTAATCTGTGTATGTACTCTTTTATTTCAACACTCGATTTATATTTCAGGCGGTTTGTGATCACATTTCTTGTAGTTACACAGAGGATCGCGACAGTATTGTCTCAGCAAAAGGTTCCGGAAAATATAACACAGGCAGTGGTCAGTGGTTCTCAAACATCAGGTAAGGTTTACACTTTTATTCTACTTTACAAACTTTTTAGACTGTCACATAAAGAAGAATATCTGATCAGCCTACAAAAATATGAGGCGATTACATTGTATAGTGATTCTCAGTGTATTTACCCAAATGAAATTCTAGGGAACATAGGTAATATCAAAGTATTTGAAGATTTTCCTCTTTTTACATTATAAAAGTATAATAATTAATTCACCTTGCCAGATTAACCGTATAAAAAGTTGGTGGGAATAAATAAAGGCACGTTGAATTTATCGTCGAATTACCGACAGATTATTATTTATTTATTTAAAAATTTATTGTTTACACCCCACAATAAGGCCAAACAAAAGGCAAACTTAATGCTAATAAGCATTATCTTCCAGTCAACCCTGGGAGTAGTGAAAAATTTGACGTAGGTGCAAAACAAAATCTAAAATTGTATTTTTGACGTCTGTTTGAGTTTTGATAGAGATATTGGACGTCGTGTCATTATCCTTACAACTGTAATATAAATCACCAAGTTCAGTGTATTAGTGTGCGGAACATGCTTTATTGTGAGGCATTCCCGCTTGTTGTGCGGACACTTCGTAATCTTGAGTTAATCGAGAGATGACACCATCATCACTCCGCGGCGCATTTTTTTTATTAGTTTTTTTTATGTGAAAGTTTGCCAAGCGAGCAGACGGTTCACCTGATGTGAAGGTCTGTAGATGCGTTGACAACCTTTTTGAAAATTGGGCTCCGGCCACCTCACTCACCTGACGAAACTCGAAAGTATTATACTTCCACTTTACGCCGGTCTTCTGTGAGGTCGTGGTACTTACCCGGACGAGCCTGCCCATTCGTGCAACAGCCGAGACTGCTGAGTGGCCCTACCACCATCGAACTACAGGACGTTGTGTAAAAACGTATCTTAAAATATTTATTATGATTCATTTATTTACCTAAGCTACTCGTTAATTCGTTATTTTAAATACGTAAATTCTCATTTAACAACGACATGAAATCTGTAAGAGATTTCAACCGATAATCGGCTCATCGCGATATCTCTGGAACCATAAGGCGTAGAGGCTTGAAATTTGGTAGGAATATTCCTTTCGCCGAGTAGAGGTCAGCTAAGAATTTCTTATTTTACCGAAATTCCACAAATAGTTTGCCCGATCAGCTAGTAAGCAATTATGTATAATAAATAGGAATCGATTCCTTGGATGGTTTGATTGTACTTAGTTGTTAAAGTTCAAACTGAAGCAAAATACAACACGCAATCTTCTTTTGGGCAGATCATGATGTCATGATATTGCTTACCTATTATACATATACGACACAATATGTCATATTATATTTCCGCGCGCTTTTATTTACTTGCTACCTTGTATAAACTCCTTATAAATAACGATAATCCTTGTAAATAACGTTGGCTATATCCTTAAAACTAAAATAAGCCAGATCAGATTTGTGAACTGACATTCCCATTTCGTTTAAGAGACAACAGCAACATTGAAATGCGGTTTCTCAAATCCGGGAGGTCTTATATATCGGTTCCAAAACGGGCCTCTTGCGGATTTCGGGGAGTTCCCTTGGATGGTCGCCATCATTAGGTATGTAATCGTATATAATAATTGTTCGTACACTTTTTCGCTATGTCCCTAAGAATAATGTGCAAATTAAAATTAATAATATTCAAAATCATAGCATGATAATTTAGTTACAGGGTATGTAAAGACAGACATGCAAATTGCATGTATACGTTTTAAGCAAATTAGAATTATAAAACTAATTACAAAATTAATTGGTTTATTTTGTTTTATTTTACATAAAAATGAAATTAGCCGCATTTAATAATTTGTTTTTTATGCAATTAAATTAATTTGAATAAAAAAATTTCATCATCATCATATACGCCTGAGCCATAGGCTCAGGAGGTTGTGTAAAATGAAACCCGAAAGACAAAAAGTTATAAAAGATGAGTAAATCAATTATTTGATTGATTCATCTCCCGCGTAGGAATACGTAGAAAATAAATTCAGACAGACATCTTGGATTTTTTTTAAATATTATTTTTCAAATGTTGCGTAGTTCGCTACATTCGCTTGCATTATATCTCTTCAACAGGAAGTCAAACGTCTCGTCACATCAGTGGCAACAGAAAGACTACGTAGCTGCCGGCTCCATCATCCATCCGTCAGTGGTGCTTACCACCGCGCACTGGATAGGCGAGTTGAACCCAGGCGAGGTAACATATTATGTATATTTTTACTTTATATAGATAGATATAGTGATTATTATCGATTTTTAAAAAGTAGGTAAGTTTTCGAAATTATCACGCAATGAGCATATTGACAAATTCGTTGTATAAAATAACATCTAAAAACCCTGCACTGCACATGTCTTGTAATTTAAAAAAAAGTCTAAATTTCATACAGGCGTCTCAACTAGGCAAAGGCTCTCTGTATTATATCATCATTTAATTAATAGACTTCCTATTCAAGATAGTTAAATAGTATTTAATATCCTTTTATGTCCCCATGATCAGATCAAAAGTCGAGCTGGCGAGTGGGATACCTCTGGGATGGAAGAACTGTATGTCTACCAAGAGAGAAACGTAATGAAAGTCGTGAAGCATCCGGACTTTTTTAGTGGTGAGGAAATAAAACCTCATTTTCGTAATCCGGCGGCCGCTCAGAGACGTTAGTTAGCACTTGATGGGTGTTAAGTTTTTTAAACATGTTTGAGGGTGGGTGTAAGAATTGGGTAGGACCATGCAGCAGTTTCTACAGTTGTACGAATGCACTGGTACGATCATAGGAGTACCACCGCAGAGAAGACCGGTGTGCAATGGAAGTATTATACTTTCGCAATTCTTCTGATGAGTAAGGTAGCCGGGGGTCTATTTATTTAAAGATTGGCAACGCATCTGCAACGATTCACGTGTTGTGAATGTCCATGGGCGGCGGTAGTAACATCAAGTGAAACACCCACTCGCTTGCCCACTATGCACCTAAAAAATACATTACAATGCAGTTCGCGATAACTCAGGATGGCTGACTTCTTTATGTCAAAGACACTTTTGATTTTTACAAGTGAATTTTTCTATATAAATACTTCCTTGCCTTACTGTTGTGACGAACCGGTTCTTGTCGACATAAAGGTTAAATATTTTCAATGCGGAGACGCAACTAATGTTCTTTGCCAAGAACTTTATACGATAACATCTAAAAATACTTACAGGTTTCATTTAAGTAAGTATTATTTGTATTCAAGCATGACTTCAAATATTATCCACGATCTATCTCGGGTGAAAAACCGATAGTGAAATATTTAAAATATAATTATATCCTAGTTCTGCGGATACCTAGTTAAAAAACTATAGTGTTATTTTTATTATCAAATCTTGTGTCGCATTAAAATTACCCTCCAGAATTTTGCCGTAAAAAGTAAAGTAAAGTAACATGTATAGGCACATGTCCCACTGCTGGGCAAAGGCCTCCTCTATACAGAAGGTATCAGGGCATGGTCTACTACGCGGCCCCACTACGGATTGGCGGACTTCACATATCTTCGAAAAATATTTTCTTTGTTATTATTTCGAAAATATGCTGGTTTACTCACGATGTTTTCCTTCACCGCGGAGCACGTGATAAGTCAGCACTTAAAGTTAAAAACTTCATTGGTGCCGTCACCGGGAATCAAACTCAGGTTGCTCGAGTATATTGAAATAAAGGCGAGCGCCCGAACACTGAGCTATCACAGCTCAGCGCCCGGACACTGAGCTATCACGACTCGTCATGAGTCATGTCATTTGAGTCGCCAAAAGGATGGTTAAACATTTTGAATTGATCATTTGGTCATTAAGAAGCCATTTGACAGCTTTATTAACTTCTATGACGAGTGTTTCAGAAACCGGGCGTGAGACCTTGAAACGAGATTAGATCGAAATTTCAACTTTGACTTTGACATTACAGAGTCGTTGGCGAACGACCTCGCCTTGCTGTTCTTGGACGAACCTTACGACCTACCTCCTGCGCCGCATATGGGCTCGGTGTGTGTCGCACAAACTGTTCCAGTACCAGGCAGCGAGTGTTTCGGCATGGGATGGGGCCTAGGCGCCAAAAACCGTAGTAACGTACTGATGAAAGTAAGCAATCATTAATGATACGTTCGTTCTATGCTAATGGAACTTAAGCTCTGAAGAGACAGTTATGCAATGACGAAAATGATTAACTAGGTGAAGTAGATACTTACAATTGTAACTACTTCGTTAATGACGTAGGCCCCGGAGGTCGTGGGTTCTATTCCGACACGGGATAAGTATTTATGTGACCCAGAGACAGTTGTTTCGGGTCTGGGCGTTCGTGCCGGGGAGAGAAAAATCAAGTAGGCTAGTGGGTCGTAAAAAATTTAAACCTAAAAATACCATTAACAAGATTAACATCATCATAAAATGTCCTTGACGCATTCGCCAAGGCATCCGTTTCGGCGCCGTGGGTTCGATTCCCACACGGGTCAACTATTTTTGTGACCCACGTATAGTTGTTTCGGTTCTGGGTGTTTGTCCACATGATATTTATGTTTGTAAAAAAAGACTGGCAGACCAAAAGTTTATGCGATGCTCGAGATGTACGAATAGGTCAGGTCAACGCAGGAAGCATCGCGATCTCGCAAAATACTAACGCAAGTAGAAGTATCTAAATTGGCCTTTCTAAACTGGGAACACGCCTTCAAACGTCATGGACGTCTGTCAAAGCATAGCAATAGGTGAACGGTGAACTTGTTCAATTGCCATTAAATGCAAATAAAAATCAATGAGATTAAGCGCTAATAACAACACAAGGAAAAGTAGACAAATAAACGACGTCAAATCACCAACAAATATATTTTCGGCCAAAATCGATTCGAACCCGCAAACTTGTTTATCATATTATTTTCACCCGAATCACAAGAAAATCTAAAAATAATACCAAATAAACTTGTTTACGTAATACCACTATGAATTATCGGATAAAGACAGCGCGAGGTATGTACGTAGCAAAAGTTAACAGGAGGCCTCTTGCGCGCATTTGGCCTTAAAAAGCGTTTTCATGATTAATTATGACTGATTTAATAGACAAAAGTCATCCTCCATGTTACTTACACTGTGGTTATTTATCCGTACCATTATACCTACCAGGTTATTCCTATTTGCTCAATTTGCAGCTCAAAGTGAACGTGTTGAGCCGCGACGATTGCGAGGAACTGATGAAGAAGACCAGGCTCGGAGACTCATTCCAATTGCACGAAAGCTTCGTCTGCGCCAGCTCCGCCGAAAGCTGCGAGGGGGACATTGGAGCATCGCTCGTTTGCCCAATTACCGTAATAATCGATAAATAGACTAATAGTAACATGTTAGGTAACGGTATGTAATTGGGTACAATTATAATGTTTAATCTTAAGTGCAGAGATTAGAACTAATAAAAAAATTTTAATTTCAAAAAGGATGGCGACATCTCTGGTTTGTGAAACGATATTCGAAATTGTTTGTAGTCTGGAAAGGATATAACAATGGATGCGCCAAGCATTGTTTCAAATGTTAAACAATATTAAGTTAGTAAATAAAAGACGTTGAGATTTTCGTTGGTGTGGCAATCAGCTTAGTGGCTAAAGCGTCAGGGTGCGAATCCCAAAGACGTCGGTTCGATTCCCACAGCGGCGAAAAGCTTTTCGTTCCTTTTTTCTACAAATTTTAATAGGACCAATTAATTCTTTTTAACCTAACCTAATAATTTCATCTTCGTGCCGGCACCAATGAAATTGTTAACTGTGATAAGTGTCGAATTATCACATGCTCTGCTGTGAAGGAACACTTCGTGAGTAAGCCGGCATATTTTCGAAATAATATTAATAAATAAAATTTTTTGAAATATATGTGAAGTCCGCAGTGGGGTCACGCGGTGAACTAGGCCCTAATACCCAATTTATAGAGGAGCCCTTTGTCCAGTAGTGTACTTATAAACTTACAAGTATAAATGCTTATTTAAAACGAAAAAAAAAAACTATCAGGTAAAAGGGGAAACATAACGCGGGGGTAACATCAGGCAGTGCCTTGTGTTGTGTGGTGACGGCTTAAACTAGGCCATGGTTAAAGCAAACATGCACACGCAAAGGTCTTTACAGAACCTCGGCTTGAATATTTAGTTAGGACTGACTTTACTTTGTTTTGCCCAATTATCTATGCACAGGAAACAGACCTATTAAGCCTTCAAAACTTTCCGAGTTCAGTTTCGTAACTGAAGGTAACTGACACAGCGGCGACAATCTTTTCGTACTTTTTCTACATGTTTTAATGTTCAATATTAAGTGCAGAGATTAGCACAATAAAAAAAACTTTAAAATGAATTGCTTTAACCTAAAACATTAGATGTGATCCGAACGCCTTTATCGTAGATAAAGACCGCTTTTATTTTAGGTTTTTTGCTTTATAGATTTGGTGTGGAGGATCTTTGTGGAAAGCGGTGATCACACGCAATCACGATTTTTGATCATGATCGTTGATTTCAGGGCGATAGCGCCAGATTTTCGCTGTACGGCCTTAGTGCGTATCGAGTGAGCGAGCCGGGTGCACCGTGCTTGTATGTCAACGCGCCGTCGTTTTACAAATGGATCGGAGAGAGCATGGCCGAAGAGGGATTTAACACATCTACCTACACATACGAACAGTCCTAAGCTTAGCTAACAGTTGGGTTAATGAATAAAACGATTAAATAAATTATTGAATGGAATTATTTTATTATAGAGTTCGTTAAATACCCGCCGTCGCAGAAGATACGCAATAAGAAAAGGTTTAACGATCCTCCGTGGGGATAAGAGCTACAGATACTTTAAATACGCCAGATTATGACATTTAATAACTTTTATCAGCAGTATGAATATAAAGTAAAAAATAAAATTTTATTATATGTAGACATAGACAGACATAAACTTTATTTTGACAAGCAACAAACAGCCCAAAAAATTCAAAAAATAAATGACGTGAACATAACAAATTGATAATATGTGTACATTATATAATAATAACTCTAATGCCTCTTAATTCCTGCTGACACAAAACACCTAATAACCTAATAACCACCCACGGGCATATCCAGATTTCAGTTACCTTACATAGGTAATAATACCTTTTAAAGGTAGTACCTTATAAATGCATGCACAAAATTAGATTTTTGATGAAATTACCTAAATAAATACTGTTCTGTTAGGAAATAGAAACGATGATTGATTTTTTTAAAAGAACTTATTGGCCAGTAGGGCAAACTGAACAGAAGTTTCACTAAAATTCTAAGTAAACCGACACAATCGTTATTAATTCGGATAGAGCTTCCGCACTCTACAACGGCTGACGAGAAAGTCCCCGAACACGGCGAGCACTGCTCCGTTTATAGGCCGTCGCAGTGTGCTACTACCCTCCTATCTTCTAACACGGCCTCTCCTGACGACTGGTCGTCCTCGATCCTGAAGTGCCCACGCGTTGGTCGTGAGTCGACGGAGTCTTCAGCGTTGTCTGTACACAGCGGAGCAGGTGCTGCGACCACTGCTGGTGTTGATGAGTAGGCTCAGAGGGGTAGTCAGCATTGTCTGAAACCAAGCGGGGGTTATCAACGGGGCCTTGAGACATTTTATCGACGATGATACCTCTTTCCAAATATCTGACTAGCGAGTCGAACGCTACAGTTTGTATGGTGGCTTTAGAAATTGCTAACACATGTAACTGTCAACATGATGTACGACTGGATATTGCACATATACACATGACTAACAGGCTAACGCCGATATGACTTAGCACAGCGCCAGACTGGCTCCAATGACTTAACAAAAATTTGCTAACGCTAGAATGACTTGAAGCTAGATGAGCTCGTGGTAACGGATTGTGTTCGACTAGCGACACCATTCACTAAGAACAAGATAAAACAGCGACTTGACATTAAGTCAACGCCTATGTTCGACTAGCGAGACTACTCACTACGAACAAAAGAAACCAGCGACTTGACATTAAGTCAACGCCTATGTTCGACTAGCGAGACTACTCACTACGAACAAATAAACCAGTAGCGAAGAATGTAGCACTCCGTCGGCCACTCTCCGAGCTATAGCACCATCTGTTCCACAGCTGCCCGCGTTCTCTTGCGCGTAGACTTAGAGCCATTCACTCTCAGAGAATGGTCGCACAGGTCTCAGGGTTCCACTCGCCCTCTCGTGGCGCCATAAACTGTTCAGCTACATACGCAGTCTAGCCACGGGCTCTAACGAAGAGTTTCAGCTCATAACGATCCCTGCATAGCGCCCGAACCACCCGGTACGGCCTACGCATACCTGGATCAAGTTTTCCCTGCAACTGAGAATAATTAAGCACAAATACAAGGTCACCACCTTCCTTGTACTTTCAAGAGGTTAACGGCCTTTGGTAACCCACTCAGATCTGATTCAGCCTTATTTTCAGCCAGCCTCTCGGCCGTCCTTTTTCTTTTAATCTTCCTTAAATACTCATAAAGCTACACCACTGACTACTCAAAGAGCAGACGTTGATTTGCACTAGGCTACGGTTACGGTATTTTGGTACAGTTACTAACCCAACGAATAGACAACGTATTAACTACCTGGCGCTCAGGCATCTTCCTAATAAGATTCCTAATACGATCATGAAACATAAACAGAAAGAAAACTACGAACTCATTTTACATTTTCAAAGTCTAAATTTCTTTATTCAAAATAGGCTTATTTTAAGCTCTTATTGAACGTCAAAAACTAACCACGACGGGCGAATCTGCGGGTCAGTAATACCCCGTTTCACTATTACCGATACCAGCTCATCACATAACTCTCTAACGTTGCGTAGCCTTAAAATGAACCGACGAGCATAGTCTGCGTATGTAAGGAACTAATCCGGATCGAAACTCATAATTTCGTACAAAATGTTCACTATGTAAGATTTTCTGGGACACAAACTCAACTCCTTTTTAAACTCACTCCAACTGCAGTCGTTTGTTACCCATTCGTTAACCTCTTAACTTTTTGCATCCCCTTGTAAATAATTAACAATACGAAACAGACATTCATGTCATTAGCATTCAGTTCTAAATTCAAAATGTAATGAGTTTTGTTAGATCTCACCGGTATATCTTATCCGACCCGCACTTATGTGGTCTACCACTGCACTCACTGAAACGCTCCGGTGAAGACGGGACCACTGAATCCAGCCCGCCTTTGAAGCGCGCTCGCTTACTGGGCCGCGCTTGACAGCGTTGACGTCTGCCACGGACGCCACAGACTGCCACAGTGGAAGCACAGCCACAGACTGCCACAGCGGAAGCACAGCCACTGGCTGCCTTCTTTGTGACGAAGCCGGAAGCTGTTGTTCCGCCAGTGATGTTGATCTATTCAAAATTTGTTGCATTTTTTCGATTAGAACATTGCTAGAAGAGATGCGTCATTCGTGACGCGAATTACGCTGTCTAGAATTTGAACTGTTGGTTACTCGAACGTCATTTACTTTCACTCTTTTTATGAGGCATAAATTTCAACAGATAATCGCAAATAAGGTGTATTTCGAATCAAATATCAAAAATTTGCCAAACAAATTACTAAGTAGTCATGACAAAACAAAATGGAATCTGAAGTAAAGATATTTCAAAATGTATTCACAAATAAACCTTTATTCCGGGTTTAATTATTAAACTGGAACGTACTCACCAAACCTGTCGTTTACACTTAGCCAAAAGATAATGCCACCATTACTTTATTACCACGATTTACTTACGAACCAATATATTTTCTTTACGAGGGTAGGCACCCAATGAATAAAATAACTCGCCGATTGTTTGAAAACTCAAAAACGATTCATATCAGGATATACGGAGTTAAGACGCGTAAGTTTTCGAATCCCACTTCTGGTGTTAGGAAATAGAAACGATGATTGATTTTTTAAAAAGAACATATTGGCCAGTAGGGCAAACTGAACAGAAGTTTCACTAAAATTCTAAGTAAACCGACACAATCGTTATTAATTCGGATAGAGCTTCCGCACTCTACAACGGCTGACGAGAAAGTCCCCGAACACGGCGAGCACTGCTCCGTTTATAGGCCGTCGCAGTGTGCTACTACCCTCCTATCTTCTAACAGTTCCATATCTGAAAAATTTATATATCCAGTAATCTCAAATGTTTATTTAATTTAAATAAAACAAGTGGAAAGTGCTGAAATTGCTTTATAAATAAAACTTTTAAAACAATCGCATTTGTTTTTGTGAGAGAAATTATTTAAGACACTTATAAAATGTGTATAGATAGTCCAGATTAAATAAACACTAAAAATAAAATGGTACAAGGAATAAAAAAGCCTAGTTAAATCACCAACAGACTGTTGAACTAATATCACCGAGACTCAACTTCTGTCACGCACAACTACCTATTTCACTGCTATCAATCTTCCGTTAAGTTTGTATAACACCCATCAAATATATTGCAAACTACATTTAGCTATTTTCGTGGGGAGAAAACTTTATAAAACAGTGAAATAAATAAGAATAAAACATTTTTAAAAAGCATCAGTGCAAATTCCAAAACATAATTTATTTGACTGTGCCATAAAACATAGAACACTAAAAAACCTTAATATGTAAAGAAAAGTCTTTAAAATGATGTTTGAATAACAAATATTATGCTTGTTTGTTGTCATTAACTTATCACTTAAAAAATATGTATGTATACAAATTTGTATAAAAACTTTGCTATAAAATAGTAGTTATCTCTAAGTGGATTTGGTCCTACGGACAATAGACAGATGGGCATTGGTAACCTAGGGCCTTAGAGATAAAGAGTATTCCGATGCCTAGAAAGTGTCCATAAAATAGAACAAACTACCACCGTGTGACCGTAGCTTAAGTTATTAATTTCAAATAAAGAACCAAATATGTTAAGAGCTCAACAAAAGTACATCAAGTGAGATAGATATGCGCTCTACAAAGGTTTGTTGTGATAACAAAATTTAAACACACAGCTAAATAAAATATTTAAATAACAGTTTGGAAATTTTTACAAAACTTTAGCCGCTTCATAAAGTTTATTTTCGGACTTTATTTAAAAGTATATAATTTCATTCACACTCTATAATTATTACATTTATATTTTTCTTAGACCATCTTAAATTTTATCTGCAATAAGGAACTTGCTCTTGTAGCATTAGAACCATTTTGTTTTACGAGTAAACTCTTTAACACAAACATTTTTGTGGAAACTATTTCAGTTAACACATGAGATACTAATTATCTCTACCCGTTAGAAACGCCAAATAAAATCTACGTACAATAAATGTCACAGACATCATTAAAAATGTCTGACTATAGGCACACAAGTCCGGATCATAGACAATGACTGCCTAAAGTATGTCAGGCATAGACAACGTTCATAATGTCTGAGCACACGGGTCCGGGCCATAGACAATGACTGGAAGTCAGGCATAGACAACGTCCGACTCTTTGACCTTCACGCTTATCTCGACCTTATCGTCCTCGACGTCCGATCCGTCTCCCTTCAGCCTGACCGAAAAGTGGGTAGGGAAGGTTAACAAGAATCCGTGAACATGGCACACGGGTCCGGCCCATAGACAATGACCGCCCGAAGGACATCAGGCATAGACAAAGTCCGACTCTATGACCTTCGCGCTGATTATGTTCCCATCCTCGTCCACGTCGCACATGGTTATCTCGACCTTTTCGTCGTCGACGTCCCGCGATTCTCCCTTCAGCTTGACCGAAAAGTGGGTGGGCGAGGTCTCTGTCGCTTCCGCCACCTGCTTCAGCTCGAAGTCGAAGGTGTTGCCCAGCGAGCGCTTCGGCCCGCTGTAGCCGCCCACTATCTTCTTGGAGACCTCGATCTCCTCGATCCTGGTGGTCGTCAGACGGTACATCCCGTCCTCGCTCAGTTGATACCTGAAACGCGCGAGCTTTGTTAGCGCTGGACAAAGTACGAGACGTTGTCACCGTTTCAGTTTTCTATGAGTTATAACTGAGCGGTTAAATAGGTTAACGCTTACATGATAATCGTAAGTTGTCGTTATGTATACTTCGTACAAGAACCAAACCTTAAACTGCATTTTGTTAGCGCAGTGACTATTTTGGCGGTTTTTCGTATTCGCTGCATTAGCGTTTATAATGTCCCGGGAAAGGCTTTCATTTCGATGGCCGGAAGTTATAAGTGAAATCCATATAATCCGTAAACTATAGCTCGGTTAGCTAGACCCGAAAAATATAACGCCTTCATAGAAGAGCGGCGAGAATGAAAATGATTTACATATGCGCATTTGTCCAAAAATTGGGCAAATTTTCACAAGTAACAAGCTTGCTCAGTTACCATAAATTTGCGAAATAATTATAGCAACAATTTCGAAGATTTGTGAAATTCGCCAATTCGCAGTGGGATCGCGTGCTGGATGCTCTAATACCCATAGTACAGAGGAGGCCTTTGCCCAGCAGTGGGGCATAAGTAAGCTGTTACATTATTTTTTTCTTAGTATCGAAAGCTTCGTCACATAATCGCAATTACCCACCTGAAGCGACTGTGTCCGAAGGGCCATTGGGCGCCGTGCACTTTGACCAGGTGCGTGGTAAGCCTGGTGCCCCTCGAGAACACCTTGGCCTCCTTGTCCGGGCAAACGTGGCACGCGTACTTCCGCGGCGTCCTGGGCTTCTTCCTGGGATCACAAGACTCCTCGTCTGAGGGGCCAGAATCGCTCCCGTCCCCCTCCCTATCGCTGCCCCCCTCGTCCTTCACTTTGCGCCGCCTCTTCCGCGTGTGCGTCGGAATGTGTTTGCGCAGGTCGCATTTCGTCACCGCCCTGTAGGGTTTGTGTTCGGCGTGAGGATTTCAAATGATAGTAAAGATCTGTGAATGGTAATACCTTTTATTATTTTTTATAAAATTTATTATGTTATTGGGATCAGATAGTTAAAACTAAAATAATCGAGATTGGACTGAATGAGATATTGTTTTTATGTGATGGGTTTGGCTATTGGATGGGCATTGTAAGTACTAAAAGAATATTTAAAAAAACTAATGCAGGTGAGAGATGAAGGCAAGCAATTCCATAAAGAGGCTGGGACAATGTGGGCTCGCTACAATTACAGTAGGGGTTTGCCTAACTGTTAGTAGCGACAGTGTCTCACCTGTAGGAGCAGACGAAGTGAATCAAGAGCGCGACTGAAAGAGGAACGCAATGAAGTCCTATCTTGAAGAGGTAGGAACAACAGTAATTATCTGGGGTCGCAACCGCTGAGTAACAATGAGGGGTCGCTACAATTACAGTAGGGGTCTAGAGAGGCAGGGAGCAGTAGGGGTTTTCCTAAAGCCCAACTGTGATCAACAACACGGTCTCACTTGTAGGGCCGGTCTAAGTAAATCGAGAGCGCGACTAAAAGAAGAACGACTAAAATCCTTACCTGGAGCGGCAGGGAGCGGCAGAGTGTAAGGGTCTGCCTATCTAAAGCCCAACTGTGACTAACAACAGAATCTCACCTGTAAGGCCGCTACAGTAGGGGTAGCCCAAGTAGGGTAGGGTCAGCAATGTTGGGTCGCTACGAGTAGAGCAGGGGATTCCCTAAAGCGCAACTGTGATTAACAACAGGCTGTCACGTGTACGGCCCCTACAGTAGGGTTATTCCAAATATGGTAGGGTCAGCAATGTTTGGTCGCTACCAGTAGAGCAAGGGATTCCCTAAAGCCCAGCTGTGATTGGCAACAGGCTCTCACCTGTAGGGGCAGTGCGGGCAGGCGTGGGTGCGCGCCGCCTCCTTGCCTAGATGGCGGTAGCGCACGTGCTGCGCCAGCGCGGCCAGACTGGGCGCCGACATGTCGCATAAAGAGCACGCGTACAGCGACACGTGCTGGCGCGAGTGCTCCTTCTCTAGGTACTCTGTGGCGCATGCCAGCCCGCAGAACGAGCAGTTGTAGCTCGATTGCGGGTTCACGTTCTGCGAACGAACTCCCGGGTCAGGGTAGTGTTGGCAAATGATTCTGATGATGTGTTGTCGTGCATAAGAACAAAGGTCGGTCATTTCTGACGAGTGATTTGAACTTTTTTTTTAATGTATTACGAGATGACCATTGGATGATCTCAATCTATTGTGACTATCAAAGTCACCAATTCGTATCTTACGAGGTAACAAATTGAAAAGGACATATGAAAAATATTAGATATTTATTAAAAATATTATATATTGCATTACTATATGAGGACCAAAGTGATTACGCCGAAAGTAAGATGATTGTTTGAAGCGATATGATTGCATTCACAAACTAAGCAAAATGTACCCGTAAAAATGTTCACATGAATTTCCAGGGCTTAGTTAGTCATCAGAAATTATTTGCCCCACGTGTTCCGAACTCGGCCGTTCAAAAGCGAGCACATTTAAACTTTTTTGCTTCGCCAACTACATAGTCGTGATACTCCCGACGTTCCCATTCTTGACTTTTGATAGCGATACGGGTAAATTGCCTTTGGTTTGACCCCGACAACGCAACAACTTTAAAACGGGCAAGTTGTACCTGGGCTTTAGCTTCGTCTTAAGACCGATTTATACTGGCCAAGTGTTTAGTACAGTATACAAGTACAGTGAGTAAATTACTACTCGACTAAACACTTGACCGGTGTAAATCGGGCTTTAGCTCCCCCAGAAGCGCCCGCAAAGGCTTCGAGCGCTGGCAGGGTCGGGGAAGCGGGCGAAAGCGTTCCCGTGCCCTGGCGACATGCGCGATATGGGTGGAACATCGTGGGGATTTTAGTCGGTGCGAGTCCTTGCCCCCACGGAGGCGTGGGGGTTTTAATCAGTGCGAGTACGACACAACCCGTCCTTGCCGCCGCGAGGGCTGCTATGCGTAGGCATTTCCCCCAACTTAACAAAAAAAAATAGTGTTCACCACTCGCCTGGCGGCGCAGGTGGTCGCGCAGCTTTCTGTTGCTCGCGAAGTGCGCGCCGCAGTGGTAGCACGCGATGAGCCGCTCGCCGGTGTGCGAGCGCACGTGCGCCGCGAGCAGCGAGCGGCGCGGGAACGTCGCGCCGCAGCCCGCCCACGAGCAGAGCGCCGGCTCGCCGCCCACGTGCAGCCGCACGTGGTCCACGAACGTCTGGACGGCCGTTGGAAGGTGAGCCGCTTTAGGGTTGGTACAACGCTGGACTAATAGCTAGCTTCAAGAGTAATAGTACTCCTATTCTGAATATACAGTTTAGGTTGTTCAGAGCATCGGCGCGCCCCCCACGTGCAGGCGCACGTGGTCCACGAACGTCTGGACGGCCGTTGGAAGGTGAGCCGCTTTAGGGTTGGTACAACGCTGGACTAATAGCTAGCTTCAAGAGTAATAGTACTCCTATTCTGAATATACAATTTAGGTTGTTCAGAGCATCGGCGCGCCCCCCACGTGCAGGCGCACGTGTACCACGAACGTCTGAACGGCCGTTGGAAGGTGAGCCGCTTTAGGGTTGGTACAACGCTGGACTAATAGCTAGCTTCAAGAGTAATAGTACTCCTATTCTGAATATACAGTTTAGGTTGTTCAGAGCATCGGCGCGCCCCCCACGTGCAGGCGCACGTGGTCCACGAACGTCTGAACGGCCGTTGGAAGGTGAGCCGCTTTAGGGTTGGTACAACGCTGGACTAATAGCTAGCTTCAAGAGTAATAGTGCTCCTATTCTGAATATACAGTTTAGGTTGTTCAGAGCATCGGCGCGCCCCCCACGTGCAGGCGCACGTGGTCCACGAACGTCTGGACGGCCGTTGGAAGGTGAGCCGCTTTAGGGTTGGTACAACGCTGGACTAATAGGTAGCTTCAAGAGTAATAGTACTCCTATTCTGAATATACAGTTTAGGTTGTTCAGAGCATCGGCGCGCCCCCCACGTGCAGGCGCACGTGGTCCACGAACGTCTGAACGGCCGTTGGAAGGTGAGCCGCTTTAGGGTTGGTACAACGCTGGACTAATAGCTAGCTTCAAGAGTAATAGTACTCCTATTCTGAATATACAGTTAAGGTTGTTCAGAGCATCGGCGCGCCCCCCACGTGCAGGCGCACGTGGTCCACGAACGTCTGGACGGCCGTTGGAAGGTGAGCCGCTTTAGGGTTGGTACAACGCTGGACTAAAATCTTCGAGAGTTATAGTACTCCTTTTCTGAATAGAATAGTTTAGGTTTTATTTTTTATGTGGCAAAGGAGCCGGCGGTTCGCCCGATGTTAAGTGATGACCGCCACCCATAGACATATGCAATAGTCGAAGGGTTGCAGAAGCTTTGCCACCTTAAAATAAATTGGGCCCCGGCTACCACACTCACGAGACGAAACGCAGAAGTGTAACACTTATATTTTACGCCGGTCTTCTGTGAGGTTGTAGTACTTACCCGGACGGACATGCCAACACCATTGCGTGGCCCTACCACAGTTAGGTGTAGATTTTAACATTATTTCCATATGAGAAAAAGTAAGATTACGGCCCATAAATGTCCCACTGCCGAGAAAAGGCCTCCTCTGTAAAGAGGTATCAGGGCATAGTCCACCACGCGACCCCAGTACGGATTTGGACTTCACATATTTTTCTAAATATTTTTTCGTTAATATATCAAAAATATGCAGGTTTCCTCACGATGCTTTCCTTATCAGCACTAAAAATTAACAATTTCGTTGGTGCCGGCACTGGGGATCGTACTTGGGTTGCTCGAGTAAATTGAATTAAAGGCCAGCGCCCGGACACTGAGCTATATGGCTAGCGTATGACACATTCGTTAATTGTCCAGTTGACGAAGGAAGCAAAGGTCAGTGGAGGAGTTAAGTCACAAATAGAAAGTAACCTGCATGGAATCGAACTTGCATGTGCATCCTACCCATAGGCAGGTATGCTCGCTTATGAATTTTGGCAATTGATTGCGTTTGGTAGAGTCCTTTTTACATCGCGCCAGGTCGAGTGTTGCCCTTCCGTTGTAACCGATAGCCAGGAGTTTTGCATGATAAGAGTGGTAGTTTATGTGGCGGATCATCTCGCAATAGTTCGTCGTTTTGTGGCCGCACACGTCCCAGAGACAGACATATTCTGCATCTGGAACAAAAAGCACATGTATAAAATAGGAATTAAATTAACTAGTCATTATATTAAAAAGCATAATTGATTAAGTAGAATCATATGGACATTCACAAATTCATGCCTATCACACAGACTAGAGTTCCAATCGCTTAACTCTCTTGCTTATGTCACACTTAAATCTTATTTTGAGTTTTTTTTATGTGACAAAGTGGCAAACGTGCTGGCGGTTCGCCTGATGTTAAGTTATAAGCGCCGCCCACGGATATTTTCAACACCGGTAGTAGATGTGTTGCCACCTTTTAATAATTTGGGCCCGGCTACCTCACTGACCAGACGAAACGCAGAAGTGTAACTAACACTTCTACTTTACACCGGTGTTCTGTGAGGTCGAGGTACTAACCCGCAAGGACCTGCCCATTGCAGTCTTTGTTATACCTCTATAAAAGTTTAACACAATCATTGATGGTAATAATCACACTTACCAGCTTTATCATCAGTTTTAATGACATGAATATCAGAAATATGACCATTGACATGACTCTGGAACAATTCATAGTCGGAAAACTTCCATCGACAGGATTGCCATTCACATTCTAAATTCAAGTCCTCTATGCGCAGTTTACGAATAGACTAAAAACAGAAGAGACATATACAGCTTTACAATTGCGACAATAAATTAACACATGTCTAACGCTACTTGCCAATAATCATAAAAAACGTTTCAGAGACTTTCATTTGTTGCCACAACGTCGCATTACAAGTCTCTTACCTACTAACAGTATATTTTATCTCTTTTAAATTCATTCAATCCATTCATATATTTTGTGACCTTTACAAATGAACTTTACGTTACAGTTTTATACATAAGGATGTTCTAAAAATGTTTGTTTTATAAAATTAAATAACTTGGTAAATATTGATACAATTTTAAAAAGTTATCCTCTATATGTGTGTTCATTTATTGTTGCGGTTGTAACGCTATATAAGAGAAAAAATTGAGGTATAACAAATATTATCAGCCTTTGGTGCTCGTTGTTGGACATGGGCCTCTCCTAGTAACTTACTAGTAAGTATAATATGAAAAATTATAAATGTGGAATAAAAAATGTATTAAAAATATTTTCATTATTTATGAACTGCTGATCAAAGATATGCATTTACAAATAATTTTTATCGGTATAGAAACTAAATCATTGAAGTAATATTAATTACAAGAACCGGCAGAAATGTTCTTATATGAACAAAAATTAAAACTTGAGACTTAACACTAAGGCAGTAGTCGGCAAAGTGCGGCTCCAGAGCCACATGCTCTCTGCTCTCTGGCACAAATATTCATGGAAGGTGCAATCATATTTTTATTTTTAAAAAAAAAAAAACAGAAAAAAAATTATGTCTTATTTTGATAAATTAAAATTCTTCTATAAATCGAGAACATGATGTATAATTTTCTTTTCTTAAGTTAAAAGGTACATTAGTTAATTAAAATTTTATGTTTTTGTAAAAATACACAAAGAATATTGATTTTAATTTTATAAATTTTCATAACCGTAAACACAAACCATGTACAAGCTACCGGTTGAAATGGTTTGTATGTTTTCGACGTACTCCGGTGTACACCTGATTGATTAGATTTGTTAGGCGTACATTTTGATGTATATCAAGGAGCTATGTTCCATTCAGATGACCCAGGCCTTGGTGATTAAATGGCGGCGCGTATTTTTAAATTGTAATAATGGTATAGGTTTATTCTTTATCAATTAAAAATGTTGGTAAAAGAAAAACGCACGTGGCGTTTTTGTAAATAAATTGCCGCGAAGTTCAAGCCAACTTGTCAACTGACATTTATCAAGTCATTAAAAGATAGACACTAGAAGCATCAGATTAAATGTATAGTGTATACTATACTTCAGGAAGAACAATAAACATCTTCGTATGTCTTTGCTAGGAATTACAAACCACTGATTTCGGTTCCACTTCTGGCTCATCTACTCCGGGTGGCACCGTGGCTTCATCTTCTGCAGCCGCTAACAGAAAGTTTTTCCTATCTGCGTTTGTTTGTATTATAAACTGAATATCGTTTTTATTTTGTAACGATAACTTCTTTGGTTCTTGTTCATTTTGTTTCTGTAACCAATCTATGCACCGAAATAAACTAAACTTTTTTTTTGTTTCATCCATAATCACCACGTTTGATAAACATTAGTTTTGACTCTTTTGACAGTCTAAGTTAAATGCAAAAGTTAGCCAATCGTTTTCTATTCATTTTCGCGAAGCTTCTTTTGCTTATATTTTGAAATTAAAAATAATTGGTCTATTTACTATTGACTTGTTGACAGTGATGACAGGACAGTGGACACTAGATTAGACGAAAATAAGTTTTTTAAAGAGAAGGCAAACGTCAGTACTACCATTAAGCAACTTTGTAAATATTTAAATTCATCGTACATATATTAATAATAATTAATTTTTGTTTCCTATACATTTTTCTGTGCGATAAAATTAATTCACCCTCAATATATAACTGTTCACTTAAATCAAAAGCGCTCCTAACAATAGATAAAAATAAAATAGATATCAGCTAAAATTATCGTGTACAAAATATTTCTTCTAAATCAAAAATTAAACGAAAAGAAAGATAATAATTATTTTAATATGATAGAAATATAAAATGGAAGAAAATATTTCAGTAGCTAAGTACTTTCTTGATCTTGATATTTTGCATACCTATTTGTATAGGGATTATAAAACTATTTCCATACGCCCTATTCAGGATTTTAATTAAGAGTTGTTATAAATACATATTTTATTACATAGTTCCTTCCCAGGAATTTGCTTTGCTCTTCCTGATTTCTGTCTTAATATTGTCATTTTGTAAACTGTAATAATAAAACGTGCGTGCATGCTGCAGACTTGCGATTTAAGTGCGGCGTATTTATTATACAAGGCGAGTCCCACGTTGTCATAAATACTTCTTATCATCTTTGGGCGAACATAAATAGTTCATCTTGTTAATACTGTCGCATAAACCGCAGGTGACGGCACGTAGGTCATTTGTCCGGGGCTGATGAAATCAACTGTTATAATAAAAGAAGTAGTTAACAAATTAGACCATCTCGCATTACCTATAACTACAAGAATGCCGAACATCAAAGTGTTCAGTGGAAGCTCGCATCCTGATCTAGCGCAAAAAATCGTCGATCGCCTGGGCATCGATCTCGGCAAGGTTGTAACCAAAAAATTCAGTAACATGGAAACGTGTGTGGAAATAGGTGAATCCGTTCGAGGGGAAGATGTTTACATTGTGCAAAGTGGCAGCGGTGAAATAAACGACAACTTGATGGAGCTCCTTATTATGATCAACGCGTGTAAAATAGCTTCGGCGTCCCGCGTCACCGCCGTTATTCCGTGTTTCCCGTACGCGAGACAGGACAAAAAGGATAAGAGCAGAGCTCCTATTACCGCTAAACTTGTCGCCAATATCTTATCAGTGTCGGGTGCAGACCACATCATTACGATGGACCTTCACGCGTCTCAAATACAAGGCTTCTTCGACATACCCGTCGATAACCTCTTCGCCGAACCCGCTGTCTTAAAGTGGATCAAAGAGAATATACCTGATTGGAAGACTAGTATTGTAGTGTCTCCAGATGCGGGTGGTGCTAAAAGAGTGACCTCCATTGCCGATAGACTCAATGTGGAATTCGCGCTTATTCATAAAGAAAGGAAAAAAGCTAATGAAGTAGCTTCTATGGTGTTGGTAGGTGATGTGAAAGATCGTACTGCCATCCTTGTGGATGACATGGCAGACACCTGCGGTACTATTTGCCATGCAGCTGAAAAGTTAATAGAGGCTGGAGCAACTAAGGTATATGCCATTCTTACTCATGGCATTTTCTCAGGGCCAGCAATATCGCGCATCAATAATGCTTGTTTGGAAGCAGTAGTGGTCACAAATACAATACCGCAAGAGAGGCACATGCAGGAATGCCCTAAAATCCAGTGTATTGATGTTTCCATGATGTTAGCTGAGGCTGTACGACGTACCCACAATGGTGAATCCGTCTCATATCTATTTTCTAATGTTCCATATTAGTTTAATTTCAAGCTTTAGTTTAGTAATTCGGTAAGCAACACTTCAATATTATTGCTTGTGTTTGTTGTACCTTAGCATATTCCTAATCTTGATTACAGCATTATTTCATTGCAAACCTGTGCTGTACATTGGTTTCTACAATTTAGATTCAGTGTCACTGTGGGAACCGCAGCCTTTTAGTTTTATATAATAATCTCATAAGTTAAATGTAAGTATAGCATGTAATATCATTTAGTATCCATACATTTTCACCTTAAATATATATATATTTTTGTCTAATGTCAAGGGCTAGTTGTACATGATTCTACTAAAATATGGATTGGAAAGAAGACAAATAATTTGTTAATAAGGAGGTAAAATTTGTTGTAAATCAATTTCATCATTTATTTTTGCATTTATATGATCTTTAGGTTTTAAATATGTAAAATGTAGTAACCATATCTATTTAGTTATTCACTTCTGGAAAATTTGATACCCAAAAGACATTGCTAAGAGTTAAATGAAAAGTTGAAAAGTTAAAATGGCTTAAATTTTCTTGTATTTTATTTTGCTTTACAATTTCATTGTTTTGTGTTTTGATGCACATTAAATATTTTGTGAAAAACATCAAAACGCTTAATTGTTAAATGATAATCTTTCAGTAATTAGGAATGATTCTGTGTCAAGTTTTCCCTGAAACATGAAATTGGTTATTTTTTTAGTATTAACTTGTAATGCACTATTAAATGTTGTATGTAATTTACATGACAAGTTGTATAAATGGGGCTTATTGATAGAGGAAGGTTTAATTTTTGCTGTACTCATTTTTTATTGTTATAAGGATAAAAAAACAAAGTTTTTGTATAAAGGTGCAATATAAAAACTGAAAGATTTTTCTAAATTTCTATTGAAACTGTTTGTAAATTTGGTCCATTATGCAAAAGTATTTAGGTAATAAACATATAATTGCCATCTCTCTTTAATTTTGTTTTTATTTTTTCTTTTGTTTTATTATTATTCTCACATTAAAAAAAGAAACATAATTGTGTTATTAAAAAAGAAGTGAGAGAACTTCTTATGTACTGCATAAATATTGAACAAATATTTCTTTGCATCTGCCCGGTGTTAGCTGTTTCATAGCCAGGAATTACGGCTGGTAGTTTCACTCTTTTCGACTCAACAACTATATAGGAACCAATATGGTGTATCAAGACTGTACAGTTTAGCCAAGATAGCTACATAGTTTACATATCACTTATACAGTCTGAAAAAATTATATGCGATGAGTTTGTCGAAGATCAGGAGTGTGAGGTAGCAATTACTGCTCTTAAGAAATCCAGGAAAATGGAACTCAATAATGCATGTCGAAATAATCGAACCCGCGCCCGTGAGTTGTTAGTTGACTAATGAATTTTGCTGATAAGCCTGTAGTGCCATTGGAAGATGATTTTATGAAGAAAAGCCTATATATTAAGTCCCTAACTGGGCTATACAGAGGGTATTAGGACATGGTCTACCATGCGACTCCATTGTGGATTGGCGGCCTTCACATATATTTTTTAACAATTACATTGGTGCCGGCACCGGGGATCGAAATCAAGTTGCTCGATTATATTGAATTAAAAGCGAACGCCCGGAAAATGAGCTATCAAGGTTCATTTATGAATATTATACAAAATAATAAAACCCTAATCAAATCTATTTGGATTTATATTAATATCAATTATGTTGATCAATGAGTTTTGAGTTTTGCAATGTGTCATTAATGAATCAAGAAAAGCATTAAAAGTATGGCAAAGCTCCAAATGATCTGTGGCCATGTCAAAAATAGAAATCATTTATAAAAATGGATCACGTTACGTTCGATTTATATTAATTCACAAAGATGCTAATTCCTTTTTTTTATTAAAAATTAGCTGATTAGCTGCCCAGACAGACTTCGTTCTGTCAAAAGGTTTTTTTATAGTATTAAAACCTTCCGTGGGCCTTAAGGAACATACAAACAAATAAATTAGCCGAATTGGTCCAGCCATTTTTGAGTTTTGCGCTAACCAACATTAATTTTTATTTACATAGATTTTAGTAAAAATTTACGTAGAACGTAAACGTTTACGTGAATTAATATCCCTTTAGAGCGTTATTTTATCAGTTGATTACATTAGACGATATCAATATTACACTTGACCTGGGGTCGGGTGAACTGATGCAAAATGTTTGTTTGTGGGCGCGACTTGTCGTCATACGACGCCAGAGGAAAACAACACATCCGCGATGACAGCACACATCAACAAACGTCGTACTCGTAACGTCAATATGTTAAAGAGCGTAACTTCAAGGTCGCTCTAATATAGGCGGAAGAATTTGAATATTTTCAAGTTCGTATTAACAGATCGCCACAGCAAAAAGTGCTTAAATATGCGAAATAGGCTTCCAATAAAATTATTTCGCAGTGGCAGTCTTTTCCAACACTATTACGTTATGATTCAGATACACGGCCCATGTCGTTTCCGATTGTAGGTTCATATCCCAACCAAGGCTCATAGGTGAAGGCATGCATGACCTATTTATCCATTTGAACCTTATAATTGGAAGTCGTCATATACGACACTATCGATCAGCGGACGTTGCCTAATTAGGTATAACGATCAGATAAACAATAACAACTTTCAAGTGGTATGTGTTTTTTCCAATTTTTTTAATGGAAAAAAGGGCAAACTATCAGGAGGCTCACCTGCCGGTAAGTGATCACCGTCGCCCATGAACATCTGCAACATCGGAGGGCTTGCAAATGCGTTGCTGGCCTTTTATGAAAGAATATGCTCCCTTCTTGAAGGATCCCAGGCCGTAACGGTTCGGAAAGGTTCCACAGAGTGGAATAAGCCGCCGCCGGCGGTCTTTACGGTGGTAGGGCCACGCAACAGTGAACACGGGTTAGTACCACGAACTCACAGAAGACCGGCGTAAAGTAGAAGTGTTACACTACTGCGTTTCGTCTGGTGAGTAAGTGAGGTAGCCGGGGCCCACTTTATTAAGAGGTGGCAACGCATCTGCAACCCTACGGGTGTTGCAAATGTTACTTAGCATCGGGTGAGCCGCCAGCTCGTTTGCCACTTTCTCGCATAAAAAAAGAGTGGTTGTGCGAGGCAAGTAGTAAAATAATGTTAATGTATAATTTTAGACAAAACCTAGTTTTTAAATTGGGCTCATAGGGCTCCGAGATATATAACAATTTTTAATAAAATTGCAATATAAAACTAATAAACCTATAAGCTCTTTATAATTTCTTTCCAATGAGAGACCTTTGAAAAATAAGCGTAAGAGTATTTGATAAAATATTTATAGACGTAAACAGGTTTTTTAATATTCTATTCCTAAAATTGTCTAACCGGTAGAAAAGTATTCCATTTCTATTGGACGTAATAACGACAACAGCTTAAAAATAGAATCAAGACAAAAGACTTGAAGGTTAGGGGAATGAACATATTGTATACATATTTTATTTTTGGAAATGGATACCGTCTTAGGTCATCATGCCTTTATTTACTCAAAATCAAAATTATATTTATTCAAATAGACGCTTGCGCGCTCTTATGAATCGTCAAATCTTACATAAAAAATTATGTCTATAGGTAAGACACCACCAGTTCGGAAAGCAGTTTCTGTTGAGAAGACCGGCAAGAAACTCAACAGTTGCTCTTTTTCAAAAATATCAGTTTACAATATAACATACAGGTATAACAGTCCTATTCTAGCCTACGTGAGTATCAACAGTATTAACTCCACACATTGGCGTCGTCGAGATATTCCGTGAGTATCAACGTATTCTATCAACGTATTCCTACGTGAGTATCAACAGTATTAACTCCACACATTGGCGTCGTCGAGATATTCCGTAATGGTATAATATGCTTTAACCATAAGTTGACTTTTAATTTTACGTTTAAATTGGTCAAGCGGCAGACTTAATATCGACTGTGGAATTTTATTATACGTACGCACACTTTGCCCCATGAACAACTTATTTACTTTTTGTAGACGAAACAATGGCGTACTTCATTTCTCTGTAAAATATAAAACTGAATGTGATTTTAAACCGAAAACCCCCGATCATATACAAGTTTCGATTGTCAATGTAATGACTTTGTATTGTTTAAACAAGAGGCCATGCGTTGTACAAAAGATGTTTCATTGCAGTTTCTCAATCATCTTATATACGTACTTTCTCCTTACACAACAGAAGTCCCTTTTGCACTAATGGGTCCGTCCGGGAAGTACTGAGAACTCGAAGAAGACCAGCGCGAAGTGCAAACTGCAAGTGTTATACTTTCGCGTTTCGTCTGTTGAGCTTGAGTGAGATAACCGGGGCCTACTTTTAAAGCATGTTTACGCATCTGCCCTAAGCCCTCAAATATTATAGATGTACGTACTTTTTCAAATTTTATTCATTCATAAAATCTAAATTAAAAATCTTTCTGCTGTGTTATATGATTAGTAAAAAGTGCCTCTATGACGATTTTGAGGCGCCGTTTTAATCAATAATTACTGCAGCTGGTAATAATTTTAGAACAGTGTTCATTGGTTAGGACGATACTACGATAGCAAAGAGGTGTCGTAAATTTTTTTCACGTAGTACCTTTATTCAAACACAACATTGAAGTAAACATTTGGCAGTTTCAAACACCACGATTTGTGGTTTGGATATCAAATAAACTTTTATTATCTCTGTTATGTACAACAGATGCTTAATTAGTGGTGATAGAAGGTTCACTTCAGAAAGTAACACAGTCGGAGTAGACACCGAGAATAACTGTTCTTCTGCTGGCAGATTTGATCCGTTGGTCGCCCTGGGGACATGGAAGATTGCTGCTTCTCTACTCGCTGTAAATACACAAAAAGTAAACTAAGTTAAATAAAATTAAAAAAAAAAAAAAAAAAAAAACAAAAATCTGATCATGAAGCAAAAGGTAGCTATCGTCAGACCCGATTGATTTATATTAATTTTTACGGAATATCGCCTA